AAGGGATGCGCCTGCCTGCGGGACACTCTACGGCACTATGATATAAGAATCAAGACAGCTTGTGGGCGCATGTCGTCGGGGCCAGTGGATATCAGTCATCTCGTAAGGGCTTTTCGAGATATGCCACACCATGTCTTATCGAGCACATCGTGCTGCCACGAGAGAGCGACACAGCACATTGTATCGGCAAGGAAAGCATGATGCTCGGTGTATGCCGTTTCCACTGTTGGAGGCAGCACTGACTGTTTACTGTGCCAGGTTCTCGCGCTGCTTGTTGTATGCTCATCATAGCGAGCTTCAGTCCGTAACGTACAATGCACCCTTTGACAGTCCAAGGGCAGGATGACCCACTCACCTCCCCTCCTGCACGTGCACAATAGTTTGCTCGCGCTCCCTGTTTACGTCGCTTCGGAACACGTGTATAATCCGGCGTTGGGCGACGCCCTCCAGCAGACACAAACTGGATTTAATTAACAAATAACAGAAGCTACGATGTAGTGGACTGAATCGTGCCGTACAGAAAGATAGCAAGCTGTTGGAAATACATGAGCAAGTATAAAGTAGCGCAGTATAAGAGGACTTACCCTCAGTCGGTAAGCTACGACGTAGTGGACTGAGGGAAAGCGCGAGACGATCGCTGTGTAGCTAGTCATTACCATATTAGGTAGTAGGCGCTTTAGTCACGTCGAACGGTTTGACCGGTCGACGACCGTGCAGGGTGCTGTATGCGCCTCGACTCAGCCATCGCGACTGCGCCGTCCATGCGGTCGGTTTGCCATATTTACCTTTTCTTCACACCTGTGGCTCACATGTTGCGCCAGCCGCCAGCCGCGACCCGCCTCGGTCCTCGAAATCTTCGTTCGCCGTCTGCGCTTGTTCCGCACGCTTGCCCGACCGCCTTGCTCTGACTGATATCAGCACCGCTTCCAGCCGAAGCCCCCCGAGCGCGCGCGCGCCCAGCAGGCCCCCGTGCCCCTCCTGCACGCATCTGCCACATCCGAGGACTCCGCCACGCCCACACACACCCGACGCGACGCCCGACGCGCACGCAGTCGCCGTCGCCGCGGCGCTGCGCATGCAGCGGGCTCTGGCTCTAGCGGCGGAAAGGCTCGGGAAGAAGGAGGCGACAGATGGGACTGCGGGGCTGGGGGAGAAGGAGGACCTGAGGGAGAGGGCTTCTCGCACGCGCGCGCGCGGCCGTTCTGGACAGTGGTAAGACGGCTGTGCGGGAGCGAGCTGGAGCTGTGCGCGCGGCGGGCGTTCTTCGCGTGCACACGACCGCCACGCCCGAAACCGCCGCCACGCCGCAGCCGCAGCCCGTGTCGCGTTCGCCGCGGCGCTCCGTATGCACGCGGAGCCAGAGCCCCTCAGATCCACGTTTCCCGTTTGCACTTGTCCTCCGCGTCCTCGCTCGTCTGCGTCTCTCTGCTGTCTTTTGTCGCCTTCGGTCGCCCTCTTGGCTGGCTCTCCTGGCTGGCTCTCCGCGCCTCCGTGCTCCTGCAGCAGTCGGCCGCTCGTGCATCACTCCTCTGTCCAATTGCCTGCATGCTCACACCGGCGCACAGCACGCCAACAGTCGTCTTCACTGCTCTCTTGTTTGTCCAGCGCAACACCGGCCGTGAAGGTTGTCCCGTCCGCTGTCTCTGTGCACTCTCTCCCGTGATCGTCAGCACGCGCATCGCGTACAGGTGCGCCATCACATACCCGGACTTGGAAAACCACAGACGAGCAGCGATACGCATACCCGCTGCGAAACGTCGCTCGTGAGCACACGTCTTGCACTCCGAACGAGGTACGTGCCCTATATTGTGCAAAGCGACCGTTATCAGTGCGTGGACGACGCGCGACCGCAGCGTTACCTATTACGGGTCCGACGCCTGCCCCTCTCGACAGAGCTTCTGGACGGCGTCCTCAAGGCCCAGAAACCAGCTAGTCAAAGGCGACGAGGAAGATAGCCAGCACGCGACCACGCCGCTATCCTTCGCGCTCCTTTCCTTTCTTATATTCCGACGACGACACCTCTCTGCATCCCACGCCCGGACCATCTCCATCGGCGCTCATTGCTTGCGGAAAGGCGGCCTAGCAACGCACAATGGGGATTCCGTGTCAGCCGCGTCTGATGCGTCCTCGCCCGCCTTGCGCCGCCCGGCCGCTCCTCCGTGCGTATTTCCTGCGCATTCTCCACTCCATTTCCTCATCCCCCTCTGCGCTGCTCACTCCTCCTGACGTCCCTGCGCCGCCGTACCCGCCCCAGGCACATTATCCCTGCCTCCCGCACCCGGTGCTTGTGCACCCCTTGCCTCGTTTGCACGGACACCCCCCGGATGCGGGCGCGACGGTTCGTCGCGATCTCGCGTCTCCCGCGTCTCCCTCGCGACCCAGTGTCAGATACGCGGCAGGAGATATGCGGTGGGAGGATGGCCGCGCGTCTGCTCACCCTTCGTGCTGGGTCGCGTCCAGGACACCAGACGCGCTGCTCGCCGGACGTCGGTGCGACAGACAGCGCGGGCACATCGACCCATGGACATAGCCGCCCTGCCCGCCCTGCGTGCGCGACCCGCGTCCTCCCCGGTCATCCGAGTGCAAGGGACATGCCGCAAGACGCACCGAGAGATTCGCCGCATCGCGGGCCTCGCGGCGCGCTG